CAGGCRAAGAAGCTTTGTTCTAGAACAGTCCATGAGTTTTCAGAGGTGGAAAAGACTAATTAAAGAGCCACTGCTAGCCCTGGGCTCCCCACCATCACCTGCAGGAGCCCTGCTCACCCCTGTGGGTGTAACTTTGAGCACTTTTTGCTCCACTGGTGCAGAGGAATRTCTGAACTCCAGCCACGTCCTTTGCTGTGTCACCTTTAGGTGGAAAGATCGAGTTATCCTTAAGGGCTGYCTGAAGCTTCAGCAGCCTGGGACCTGTCGAGGGTAAGAGCTGTTGAAAATGAGGAGAGGGATGAAGAGGAAGGCCTGTATTGCCATGTCCATCAGAGTGCTTTGAAGCAGGATTCCTCAGATGTCAAAAGAGACCTGGACAAAATGCAGCTCTTTCCTTTCCTCCCCTTCACCTGATCAGCCTCTGTGTGCTGCAGCCAGGGCAGCATCCTGACAGTCCCTGCCACCCAGGGATCCTCTGGGGCCATATTTCCTTGCTACCCTTCCAGGGACTCCCAGAAATCCAGCAGGGCTACGAGAGCTGCTCAGCCCCTTCAGCTCAGAGCATGGGGAGCAGTCTGCAGCATCTACAGAGAGTTTGTTGGATGGTGGAAGGGGCTCATTTAAATAAGAAAAAAAGACTTGGAGCATGTTGCCAGCATTCTCCTCGCCTATTGTACTCCCCCTTCGGTTCCTGCTTTCCAGTGAACAGTTTTATGTTTCTAAGGATCATAAATTCTCATTTTTCCACTGGGCAGGAGGTGCTCTCCTGGTCTCCACCGCTTCCTGCGTCGTTTTTGTGTCCGTGTTGCCCAGTTACTGCAGCACAGCCCCAGACTATGCCCGGCCACATTCCCACCAGCCACGGCCCCCAGGAACAGAGGGAAAGCCATAACCCAGCAGTTTGCAGATGGAGCCACRGGGAGRGCTGYRCTGACMAGGGAGAGCTGTGCTGACCAGGGCCAGTGGGATGTGATGCCAAAGTGGGGATCAGAGCCTGGACAGCAGCCTGTGGTCCAAGGGTGACCTGCTGGTTTGCCAGCTCCAAGTCAGCTCTCAGCTAAGCCCCACTGGCTGGGAGAAGGACTCCACAGTTTTCCATCACATCACTTCTGTCAAGGACAGCGCTCCAAGCATGGGTAGTTCAAACAGCAGCCAAGATAACACCCTGTCTTCACACCGTGTGGGTCAGTTGGTTTGAAATTAATTACATTSCTGAGCTGGGAATGCTTGATTCCTCATGGCTTTAATTCCTAAAATGGGAGTCAGATAGTGCTGGAGGCAGCACACTGCAGCAGAGRGAAGGGAAGGATGCCTCCCATCCCAGTGGGATGTGGCCACGTTCCAGTGGGAGCAGGGATGGGGGTCTGGAGCCGGTCAGTCGGGGGRCAGAGTGAGCTCATTCCCTGCTCCTCATTGCCATGCTCCCCGTGTCCGTCTGGTGGGCGAGGGGTTGGGCTGGGTTTTTGTTGGGGGTTGTTTATGGACACATCGATCCTGCAACCTGCCAGGCCGGGACGGGGCCAGGGGCAAGACAGCGGGCTGAGGGCTGCCTGGAGAATTTATGGCTGCAGGATGAAGTCTTTGSTTTCCAGGCCTGTGGCATCTTCCAATGGGATGCAAATAAGGGCGTACCCAGCTGTGACTGGGGGCACTGACATACTCCTGCTTCAAAAACTTGGAGAGCCTCTGCTTTGATTTCCCTTAATACAATTTAAACCACCATTTGAACCGTGGCCAGGAGTATGTTCCGGCCTCGCTGCTCCTTGTTAATGAAGAAGATGCATTTTTTGGAAGCAGAGGCTGCCTCCAAGACCTGCAAACTCTCTATTTTATGACAGTTTTCATTTGCATAATGAACACCCTGATACCTTCAGTAATTAATCACATTAAGAATTGCTTCCTTGAATAACTCTATTCATGCAGGTTGTTCCTAGTGCTGGAAACYGCACATGATTTCCAATGTGCATTAGCCCAAGTTTCATCAGCAGATGGAAGCTGGTAACTGCATGTGTAATTTATATCTGCTTGGGTGGAATTATCCGATGAAATATGCATCACACGGTGCCATTAACATTTCTAGTCATCCAGTCTTAGCTCGTGGGTAAGTTAATATTACATGCCAGCAGTGTGTGGGACCGTATGAAAGGCAAAGACTTGAATGCAGGGATGTAAGAGCAGAAGTGGAAAGTATTCCAGGTCAAACACAGCAGATACAGAATTAATGATGCTGCTAAAATAAATGAGATTAATTACCCTTTTTTGACCTGCATTTTTTTTATAAAATGTCCCATCTTGTCTCCATAGTTAAGAAAGCTGCCAGGCTGAATCGCCACTTGTAGGGCCAACTCCAGATCCTTTAGCATCCAGAAAGCTTTTCCCATAGGACAGCACAAGCAACACGAGAATAATGATGGAATTGTGGAATGCAGCAGAGAGAAATGTTGCTATGGGGTTTGGATTTGTTGGTAACCTTAACAAAAATCACATCAATTCAGTAACAAGAAGAAAATCAGTGACTAGACTGTGCTGTGACAGGTCAGCCGGGAGCCTCGTGCCGGGGTGGAGGTTGGGTTATGCACCAACATCTCTACAGGAGCAAGTCAGCTGCCTTGSAGTGCCTTTTTCCATGTGCTTTTCTGTCCTTAAATAAATCATGGTTCATTAAAACACTGATTCCTGCCTGATAGGAAGCAATTAAATGCCTGAAGCTGTGTTCTGTGTGCCTCTCATGTGGAGAGATGCAGAGACAGTCCAAGCCAAGCTGGTGCTGTGAGCGTGGGGCTCTGCCCACCCCTCCTCTAGAGGCACGGTGCTGATGTTCCTGCTTCCTCTGCTGGGACAGGGGACATCCTACAGCTTCTGCTGCTTGAGAGCTTTCACCCTGTAGAAAAGATGTGGGGCCCAGTGAGTTTTACCTGTTTTTAGGCCAGGCTGGTTCTGCTGTGGCTGTGGGGAGCGCGCCTTGGCCCTGTGCTCCAACAAGGATGCAGCCATGGCCATGAGCTCCATGGGGAGAGGAGCTCCATGGGGAGAGGAGCTCCAGCAAACTCCTTCCTCACTGAGGCTGCTGTGGGCACATCCAGCTCACAGTGCTGCACAGCTCTGCCTGGAGCTGAACCCTGCCTGTGTCCCAAAGCAGGCTGGAGCAGTGCTGTGTGGGAGCTGGCTGGAGTTCCTGCCTTCAGAGCCTTGCCATCATTCCTGGCAGCACCCACAGATTCGCTGCCGCTGCTCCTGATTGTTCCTTTCTGTCCAAGAGAGAAAGAAAAGGCATCTCTGCGAAATCCAGGCTTGGACTTTGCTTAAAGCCTTTGAGTAAAGAGCCTTGTTTGAATGTAATTGCACCCCTGTTGCTACAATGGGAAAATACACTGTATTGCTCTTTCTTGGAAAGCTCAGCTAGTATTTTCCCAGCCATTTGTGTATAAAGAAAGATAAACAGCTCTTTAGCGGGCAGAACAGTCTATCCCGGGTTTATTGACATTCATGGAGCAGACAAGGACAAACAGTTTGGTGAGAGCAGGGGAGGGGGAGCAGCTGGATGGGGGGAGCTGGGTATGAGGGATGGAGGAGCCCTCTCAGGTGCTGAGCATGGCCAGTCCATCTGCCTGGCCCCATCCCCAGGCATTGCCACATCCCCAAGGGCCCCCTGGCAGCCTGCAGGATGCACTCCCCACCTCACCCTTCCTCTCACTCCTCCCCATAAATAAAAAACGTGTATAGCAAATTTAGTTCCAGCTTCACACGCAATAGCGCTATAGATAGATTTTTAAAGAGCTTGTCTGAAAGTAATAATTCATGGGGAGATCAAAAGGCTGTGGTTTAATCCGGGGTCTGTCTGATACCATAAACCTTGCAGAGTGCTAAGAATTCAATGAGCAGCATCAAAAGGCTGATAAACATGAAAGCCACCCAATTTTGTGTCTGTAAGGCTGGCGTGGCTTACAATGGGTGCTGAGGAGCTGGGAGATGTGGATCTGCTCTGCAGAGCTTGGGTGACAGAGCCACACACAGCCCTCCAGCTTCAGCACCCCAAAAGAGGTGCCTGGGCTCCCTTARCACCTCAAGTGCTCCCTGCACCTCCCTTGCTGTGTAAAGAAATCAGAGCTCTAATTAAGTGTCTTAATTACCTGGCCTAGGTGGGTTTCAGACTGCACTTGGCTGCTTGGCATTGCCTTTTCCTCCAYATCCACGAATCAGAGTCTGCATTGATTCACCAAAGCAACGTGACAGAGCAGTGGATTTCAGACAGGGACTGCAAAAAATGCAGCTCTCCATGTGCTGTATTTGGAAGCTGAAAATGGTGTTTGAAATGGGGGCAAGAAGGATGAGTGCTGTAAACAAAGGTCTCCAGAGTAGAAGGGCTCTGCCAGGCTTCTGTCAGCTAAAGAAACGTTTAAAAGCCAGTGTTTAATTTTTAACACAAATGGAGGTGAGCTCAGGCTGCAGACACCTGCAGGGTTTTTCTCCAGAGATCCTGATCCCACAGAGGTTAATGTGATTATGCAAATGACTGAGGTATAATTGCGTTCCTGCCGCCCATCTGGCCCTCCCTGCAGCTCCTGAGTGATTTTCTATTCCCCATGCACTGCAGTGCTGACACACAAGGGCACCAGGGATGTCACCACTGGTGTTTGCTGCAGGTGCCACCTCCCAGCAGAGCTCTGGAGSAGAGTCCTGCTGAACCTGGCATGGSCAATGTGTCTGGAAAGCTCTTCCCAGGTCCAGTTTAACAGCCTGGATGTCATCCAGAGGATTGAGCTCCGCTTGTCCTCTCTCAAGGGATGCTCCTGACAAAGCCAGGATCCTGCCTGGCATCCCAGCTACTGCACCAAATCCTTCTCAATTCAGGTTTTCTCAGCAGAATAAAACAAATTCCCGCTTTGCTCAGCAGCTGGGATTAAATAAAACCCAGACATTTTCATGTCACACACTGACTACCACACACTGCCCCGGGTACCTCCAAGACTCTTTTAAATTTGGGTTTTTCTTCCCACCAGTATGAATTCAAAGCCAAGAACATTAAGAAGAAGAAGGTGAGCATCATCGTGTCTGTGGATGGGGTGAAGGTGATCCTACGCAAGAAGCAGAAGGTGAGGCTTCTCGTGCAAGGTGTTTCTGCTGCTTCTAACCAAGTCTGGCCTTTTCTGAAATAACACCCAGAATTTTCACCAGAAAACACTTCAGTGTCCGTCCAACTCATAACAAAACCTTGCTGGAAAGACAGTGGCAATATTACAGTGTGGGAAGATTATTTTTTTCTATCAAAAATGTATCTCTCAGGAGATACTGTGTCTTTTTCTTGCTAACAGTAGAAAGCTGTTTCCATGCTGCCTGGTCTGAGCACCCCACAGCTTTGTGCCCAGCTGTGCTTTCCACTCAGTCACTGAATCCAGATCTCCTAAACCCCAGCTCCGAGCCTTCCTCCCYAAGACTTGGAATTCTTCTGCATATTTGATTTTATAGCTTAATCTTAGAGACCATTTTCAGCCCTGAAGGCTGTGATCAGATATGATAAACGATCAAAAAAAATCTATTTTTATCCAAGATACTGTTGAAACAGCCATGGCTCATCTGTTCATACTTTAGCCTGGATAGTGGCTTGGGACAAAAGCATTGTTTTGCAGGTTTCCCACCCTTCATTTTGGTGGAGTTTCATTTTCACCTGATTCACTGTCATTTTTTTCKCTGCTTACAGAGAAAGGAGTGGACGTGGGACGAGAGTAAGATGGTGGTGATGCACGATCCYGTGTACAGGTACATGGCAGGGGATTCAGGCACTGAGGGCTGCTCAGCCCTGGGTGATCCGTGCCCTTCCTCCCACCTGCTGAGAAACCCCAAAGGACCAGCTAAAATTACCGAGGGCACAGAGTTACTGCTGCTGGAGAATCCTTCCCTTGAGAGCGAGGTGGACTGATGTGGCTTTGAAGCTGGCTCTGCTTTGAGCAGGGTTAGACTGGGTGACCCTGGAGGTGCTTCAGCCTGGATTACTCTCTGATTGTGCCTGTGAAGAAAGGCTTCCCATGGTTTTCTTTCAGAGCATGGCTCTCCCTGTGTTGTGAAGCAAGGCCTCACTCAAAGGTCTAAGTGCTCACAGGGAATTAACCCTTACAGATGTGCCAAGAAATCTAGATGACTTTCTATAGCACCTGCCATGGGATACTGAGGTATTTCAGAGGCCACAAGCCCCACCCAGAGGCTTGCACCGAGTGTAAACCTGGTGCCTCAGGAGCCCCTGGGGATGGGAGGCACCCCCAGTGATGGAGAATGGCCTGAGGACGGGTAAGAGCACAGGGTGCTCCAGGCTGTTAGATCTGCAAAGTGAATAATCTAACCACAAGCACGAGGACTGAGATCCAACACTGGTTTTTGGGATCAGAGCCCTTAGTGAGGGAATAAGGAGCAGAGGATGTGCTGATGCATTATCYGTGCCCACGTCTCACCTCTGGCTTCTTTAAAGTTTACTACAAAATGTGGTACATTGGCAATAACTGCTCTAATTGCAAGTTCAACACCCAAAAGATTCTAGTGACAGGAAAGAGCAGCAGGAAAAAAACATTTCAAGAGTCCCTTTGGTTTCTTCTCTATGCAGAGCTGAACTCACTTGTCACGTTTTCACCCAATTAAATCAAACACATATAAAAATCTTCAAAATGGTTTTGCAGCACAAGGAGGAGAATGWGTGCACTCAGCATCCCTGGGAGAGGTTTTTGAGCTGTTCCCCCTGCCCACTGCTGAGGATGGACCCTCGGGTCTGGTCTGGCTGCCCTGGGGACAGGACAGTCACTGCCATGGCAGTTCTGCAGCCTGGGCAGGGGTTAATTGCTGGGGTTAAAAATAGCCCCCGGCTTTCCAAGAGTAGAGATTTTTTTCACTTTCCTACAGCATCTTTAAAAAGCTTTTGCCTACTTCAGAAACCAGAAGGTTTTCCATCAAGCCTGAAACACTCTCTAAATGCATCCCATCCTGCCTCGAAAATTGCAGGAGGGGCCATGCACCAGCATCGCCTTGTTCCCCCAGTGCTGGGGGCTGCAAACCAGCCCATSCTGGGGACACGCAGAAGGGGAGGTGGTCTGGAGGGCAGGGACTCCCCCGGGTGTTTAATTCCTTTTGTCTCTGTCCCACCTAGAATTTTCTAYGTCTCTCATGATTCACAAGACCTGAAAATATTCAGTTACATCGCAAGGGAYGGAGCGAACAACTCCTTCAGGTGCAACGTCTTCAAATCCAAGAAGAAGGTAGGGTGCTCCTGAGAATACCTGGGGTTAGGGTSAGGGGTGCTCCTGGGGATGCACCCCCAGAACTGCTGGATCCRAGGGTGCAGATCCCAGTTAAATCAAACACATATAAAAATCTTCAAAATGGTTTTGCAGCACAAGCAGGAGAATGAGTGCACTCAGCATCCCTGGGAGAGGCTTTTGAGCTGTTCCCTCTGCCCACTGCTAAGGATGGACCCTCGGGTTCTGGTYTGGCTGCCCTGGGGGCAGGACAGTCACTGCCATGGCAGTTCTGCAGCCTGGGCAGGGGTTAATTGCTGGGGCTAAAAATWGCCACTGGCTTTCCAAGACTAGAGAATTTTTTCACTGGGGAGTGGCTGGGTGTCCCCAAATAACACACCTGGGTTTGTCCCCTCCTGCCCAGCGGGGCGGTGGCACATTCCCCACAGGGCCAGGGGCACCCAGATCCAGAGCAGGGATCCAGGAGATGCTGCTGGGGCACAGAGCAGTCTGGGCTGGGAAGGGGAGCAGGGTCCCAGTTCCCGTGGGTGGTGGGTGGCACTGGGAGAGGCACGGGGTTTGCTGAGCCGTGGGTTTGCTCTGCAGAGCCAGGCCATGCGTGTGGTGCGCACCGTGGGACAGGCATTCGAGGTGTGCCACAAGCTGAGCCTGCAGCACGCCCTGCAGAACGCCGACGGGCAGGCTGATGGAGCCAGCGACAAATCAGCTGAGGAGCAGCCGCTGGAAGGTGACACAGCCCTCTGGGGTGGGGACACGCTGGGTGACACATCCCTTATGGGCTGGCTGTGGTGATGGCGACAGGTTTGGGCCCCTTTGGATGGGAGCCTGGGGAATCAGCCCTGTCTGCCCACTCCTACTGACCACTGGGAGGGGTCTGCAGCCTCTTGGCCCACCCGTTCCCTCCCTCCTGCCCCTGCCCAGCACGMTGAGCCCCATTGTCCCTGAGCTGTCCCCAGCCCTGCGTGGGGCCCTGGCTCTTCCTGTGATCCTGCACAGGGCAGGATCCTCGTGTCTCCTTGGGTTCATATGTCTGTCTTGTTTGAAGTTCACCAGATAAAGGGCTCCAAGATCACGGACGTGGATGAGGTTGGCATTGATGCTGGTGGCATCTGTGTGTCCGAGAGGGGACCCAGAGAGCTGCCAGGTGCCAGGGGGGACTTCGGCATGCTGAAAGCTGTGCAAGCCTCAAAGGAAAGGAACGGCCAGGTAATGAGGTGGGCTGGAGGRTGGTCCATGTGCTCTGCTGCTGCTCAGGGCCCTGTGCTCGGGGTACCTGTATCATGGCTTGATTTGGAGGTGCTTTCATGGAATCCCCATTGCAGACCTCCCCCCTGGCTCCCTGCTCAGGACAGGCTGTTCAGTTCCCAGTTCACCCAGAGCAGGGCTGTGTCCTGGTGCTGGGATGGGTGGGGGTTAAGGACAGAGATGGGGTGGGGGCTGTGGCGCATGGCTGAGCAGGCTTCACACATCYCTGGGGTGCATTTCCGTGCCCTCAGTGCTGCTCTGCAGTGATTGCTGGTTCCACTGCCCTGGCAGCGAYCCCTGGCTCCCCTGTGCTCCAGGGAGCAGCGTCCCGAGGGGCCCAGCCCTGGCAGCGCGGCCACCCGGGGCACATTCAGCGGTTTCACCTTCATGAATGGCTGCTCCAGAGCTCTGGGAGCACTTCCCGGGGGCCTGAATGGCATCGCTTCAGCTCACACAACAGCAACGCTGGCGGGGCCTGGCTGGGAACAGCTGCAGCACACGCACTCTGTGGGATGTGTCTGCGTTCCTGTGCATTCCTGCTGGCGCTGCCCAGCCAGGGAGGGCAGGGGCAGGAAGGGCTGTGGCCACAGGCACTGGAAAACTCCAGAGCCCAGGATACCGCCCAGCCTGGGCAGCCACAGCACGGAAAGGTGGCGGAGTGTTTGGGTCACTCCCCGCTGTGTCCTCTCTGGGGTAACTGGGGACCTGCCCTGCCCAGACACAGCCAGGCAGCCGTGCCAGCTCTCTGGGAGGAGCTGCTGTGTCCCGGGGATCACACAGAGCCTGGCACCCAGCCCGGGCTGCCCCTCACCATCCCCCTTGGTGCCCAGAGCGCTGGGGTCAGCCCTGTGGGGAACCACGACCCAAACCCCAGCCTGAGCCGGTCAATCCGCTCACCTGCCCATTTCTTTGTGACCAGGATGCTGAAAACTGCTCCCTGCACCTGGCCAGCTCCCAGCAGCTGCTCAGCCCGAGCAGCCCCTGCTCCTCGGCCTCCATCACCCCTCTGGCCTCCCAGCACTGCCTCCAGCTGCTCCAGCAGCAGCTCCTCCAGCAGCAGCAGCAGACGCAGGTGGCTGTGGCCCAGGTACGCGTCCTGCCCTCCCCTCAGGCGGCACCAGCCCTTCTCCTCTCCCTGCCCCGGCGTCCAGCTGGGCTGAGCCGACAGCAGGGCAGGTGGGAGCGGGCTGGGGCCCTGGCAGCGCTGCTGGCAGCGTTCCCGATCGATGGCACAGCTCTCGGCAGAGTTGGCAGCATCGCTTGCAGCGCAGCTCACATTGCTTTTAGCGCCACGTGCGGCATCGCYTGCAGCACGGCTGAGCTGCCCGGACACGGAGCTGGCTGCACACACAGCTCCAGGCTGCTCTGGGAGTGTTGTAGGGTCCGGCAGAGCCCCCAGCTCACCCTTCACCCTATTACATCCCATTTCTGGAAACCATCCCACCCCAATCCAGCATCAGAGCGGGACCCCGGTGCTTCCCGGGTGCGCGTTTCTCGTTACCGGGGGTCAGCAGCACATTCATTCCCCGCGCAGCCCCGGGGTGCATCCCCTGCGCGTTTCTCGTTACCGGGGGACAGCAGACATTCATTCCCCGCGCACCCCGGGGTGCATCCCCTGCGCGTTTCTCGTTACCGGGGGTCAGCAGCACATTCATTCCCCGCGCACCCCGGGGTGCATCCCCTGCGCGTTTCTCGTTACCGGGGGACAGCAGCACATTCATTCTCCGCGCACCCCGGAGGTGCCGCATCCCCGCCCGCGGCTGCACCGGCTCGGGGGGTCACGGTGCGGCGGGGCCGGCAGGGGGCGCTGTGGCGCCGCCGGTACCGGGCGCTCCCKGGGCTGCTCCTCCCGCCCCGCATCGCCGGGTCCCGCATCATCCCGGTCCCAATCATCCCGTCCCGCATCATCCCGTCCCGAATCCTCCCGTCCCGCATCGCCCGTCCCGTCCCGCAGGTGCAGCTGCTCAAGGACCAACTGGCGGCCGAGACAGCGGCGCGGATCGAGGCGCAGGCCCGGGTGCGGCAGCTCCTGCTGACCAACCGCGACCTGCTGCAGCACGTCTCGCTGCTGGTGCGGCAGCTGACGGTGCTGGAGGCCCGCGAAGAGCACCGGGATGAGCATCGGCAGTCGGGTGAGCGCGGTGACACCCTCACTGGGGTTGTTTGGGTGCTGGGGTGCCCCCAGCTCCATCCCTCTGGACAATCTCTGCATTCCTTGCAGTCACAGGAAGCAACTGGAGCGTCCCCAGTACCATCCCAGCAGGCTCTGGGTTCTGGGGCATTTCTGCACCCCTCACAGTCCAGAGCAGCAGCTGGTTTGGAGATGCCCAGTTTTTCACATGCCCCTCATCTATCTCTCACAGTTGACCRCTCCTTGCAAAACCTGTCCCTGGCCCAGTCCCTGTCCCTGAACCTGAAGAACCACTACAGCCTGGACGTCCACCTGCCGTCCACCTCCACGCCCGCCAGTGTCCTGGGCAGCCCCGTGGCGCCCGGCTCKCTGCCTTCCCTGGGCCCCAGGGACTCCTACCTCAACCTCGTCAGCCTGGACAGGGCCAGCCAGCGCTACGGCAGCAAGGAGGGGGACGAGAGCCTGGAGGGGCAGGACGGGCTCAGCCGGCGCGTGGAGGGCTCCGAGGTCAGCGACTCCGCTCTGCTCAAYGGGAGCGGCCGGCAGAAGGCGGACGACACGGACAGAGGGGACGAGGACAGGTAAGTGTGGCAMCTGTGCYCCTGCCAGCTGCAGCAGGAACACCCTGAGTGCTGTAGGTGCAGGTCAGTATTCACCCGTCACCTCCTCTCTCTGCTTKCCCTCCCCAGGCGGCAGCCGCCCATTCCCAAGCTCAACCCGCCACCACCCATCCTACGCAAAAGGTCGAGCAAGACCTCCCCGAGCCTGGAAGTGGAGGTGAAGCCCGAGAGCGCTGCCCACCTGAGCCTGCCCAGTGCCAGCATCTCCAGCCTCACCAGCATCACTGCCAGCTCCTTCACCCTCTTGGACCCTGAGGCAAGGACTCCTGCACGGAGCGCTGCCTCCAGCACGGAGCCCGGCCCTGCCGGGACCTGCCAGCGCTCTCTGGGCAAGGACAGGACTGGAGAGAGCGGGCCAATGTCCCCCCTGGCCAGCATCCATGACCCAGCAGCCAGCGAGGCCCTGGCCAAGGAGYTGGTGGCCCTGGGCAGCCCCACGGACAGCTCACTGCCCTTCTCCCCTGCGGACGACACCTGCTTGCACATCAGCTTCTCCGAAGATGAGCTGGACACTGCCCTGGGGCCCAGCAGGGTCCCCTCGTAGTGGGGCACAGTAGGTGGCAGCTGTGGCTGGCAGCCCCAGAAATCCATCACAGCCCTGCACTGGGACTGGGGGTCCCTGTGCCCAGACAAGCAGACAGACAGGTCCCTTTCCTGTCCCTGCCCAATGGAACAGTTCCCCCCAGAGGATGGGAGCTGGCCAGCCCTGCCTCGGTCTGCACCAGCTCACTCTGCTGTCACACTGCCATCCTGTCCCTGCTCCCTGCTCACAGCCAGGGATGCTCCACAGGAGGATATTCCCGGGGAGTTGAGGGGTGGAAGCCCCAGGCAGGGCACGGTGCAGAGCTGTGAACACCCGGACAAGAGGCTGTTCTGGTTCATCAGCTGCCACCCCCTGCCCAGCTCCCCGAGCTGTGCCCCAGACTGCCACCACRCTGGCTCTGCCAGTGCCCACCAGCCCCACACTGTGCCCAGCCCTGCCTCTGGGGACAGCAGCCCCACCACTGTGTCCCCACGCAGTGAAGCCACCACTGCCTCCATAGGTGCCTTTTCCCACTCCCCAGCACCCACTGCCCACACAGGTTGGGCCACTCCTGAGGCCGCTGATGGGTGCAGGGCTGGCCTGGGACCTGCAGCAGTGGGGGATGACCCCCTAAGGAAGGGTGCACCCCATGCCTTGGGGTCAGGGTGGGAGAGCCYTCCCATGCCCCCGAGCTGCTGGTGACTGCAGGCAGGACGCTGCTCCTTGTGCTGATTTTAGGGTGTTACGGTCTGGTTTGGGTTTGGTCTCAAAAATATGAGTGTCCTGGGTGGAGTTAAGGTTTAAGGAAGAAGCCAAGCCCGGGATGAAGGGCAGGTTTGGTGGAGGGACCGAGGGGATGCTCATCCACCTTGGTTGTTTGTCAGAGGGTGTTGGGAAAGTGTTGGAAAGTCAAGTTGGGAAGTGTCAAACAGAAATGGAGACTCGGAACAGCCGTGCTGCCTGTGCCTGGCATGGCACTGCTCCCTCGGGGAGAGGGAGGGGACAGGACGGGCAYCCAGAGGTGGCCCTGGCGGTGACAGAGCCGGGAGGGGGCGGGTGGCCGTGCCGRGGGTTGTAAAGCTGCGGCTGGGCTGTCCCGTAGTGCGGTAGTGACAGCCCAGCCCCTCCGTAGGATGCTGCGGTTTGGTAATGGACTTTTAAAGAAAAAAATAAAGCTGTCAGATTTGCAGAGCCAGTGCTGTGTCTCTGCCCCGTGGGGCTCCTGAGCCTGTGGGGCGGACTGGGAATCCCGAGTATTCCCAGGGAGGAAAGATCCCTGCTGGGAATGATGGCTGAGCCCTGGAGCTGCTCCGGAGGATGGGCACCTCCAGGCAGGGCCCTGCTCCCCACACATTCCTTTTGCCCTTTCCTGGTCCCACTTCTGCACCTGAAATAAATCCTGGCCCCAGCACACAGGGTGGGAATATGAGGCAGGAGAAGGCAGATGGCAAAGCCTGCGGGATGGGATGGGACAGGATGGGACGGTATGGGACGGGATGGCACCCAGGGTGCTGGGATCCCCAGGGGCTGCCCACAGCCAGGACAGGCAAGAGACCCCTGCCCTCTGCACATTCCTGACCGTTGCGAGGTGAGGAAAAGAATCCAGGAGCAATTCAGCACGGAGACTCCAGGACGGACAAGGACCCTGTGAGATTGTCCCCCCATGCAGGACAGGGGGGCCAAATGCAGGGACCCATGGGGGTCTCGGGGTCACTCTCCATCCCTCCACAGAGAGGTGCAGCCTCCAGCATGACAAAGTGGGGAGCAGGGAGCCCCTTCCCCAGACCCAGTGCAGACATCTGCTGGGGGGCTGCCTGCRTGGGGAGGGGGCACTTCCAGCCCAGAGCCTTATTATGCTTCCTTCATGGGAAGAAACTTTTTCCTTTGCTGTCTGCTAAGCTGCTAGCAATCATCAGGCAGGCAGGTGGTAAAGATTCATATCCATCAAACAATGCCATTTAGTTTGTAACCTGTGACTAAATCTGGTGTTAGCTTTAATTTCAGAGTCTGCTTTAGGGCTCGCTTGTTAATCTCTATGCAAAGCAGATGAAATGAATATGCAGCATTTTGGATGTAATTGTACGGCTTCAATTCAGCACTATAATTTTCCAAACAGGATCTTGCAATCAAGCTTCTATTCATTAGTGTATAAACAATTTAGTTTCTCAGCTCTCCAGTATGCCAATCATCTCAATGGAGTGAGCATCTCCGACAGAAAGAGGAGGAAAGTTTCCTTTGTGTAACAGAGGTAAAAGTTGCTCCATACTTCAGACAATTCCCGCCCAGCAGATCCAGACCATTCCCACAGAAGCGGACGGTTCCTGGTGCCCTCACAACACTGACCAGTTGGTGATGCTCCAGTGAYCTCCCAGCTCACATAGCCCCAGGCCCTTCAAGAATTCTGCATGTGACACCTCAACGAGGAGCCCAGATCCCACAGGATCAGGCTGCCTGGAAAGGAGCAATCATGCAGCACCTCAGCACACCCAGTGATGCTCAGGGCTCCCCAATTCTGGGGAGGAGGTGGCCACCCCAGCCCAAGCCCCCTCCATGTTCCCATCCCCCTGATACCGTACACCAAGCTCAGTCTTCATGGCCAGCACTGCAGGACAGAGCCTTGGTGACATCCCACACCTGGGGCCATKGGCAGCTCCCCCATGGAGGACAAGGCCGGTTTTGATGTCAGGGCTCAGCACCCTCATGGCTGATGTTTCCTGGGGAGAGACCCGAGGGTGCTGCACACCCACCCRCATCCCCATCCCTGCGCACCCATCACTCCTCGGGGGTGAGAGGGAGCAGCCCAGAGCCTCGACAAAGGGAAGCGCCGTCGGCAGAGCCGCTCAGCGCGGTCTCCGTTTCCAAATGAATATCGACAGCGCTAATTACAGGCCGCCATGCAGACAGCTTATTAGCTTGTCACAAAAAGACGGTATTGAACTCGGAGCCCGCGGTATTCACGGAGCGCAGCAAGACGCTCCCCAGACAGCACAGCGAACCAGGCAGGCGAACAACCTCCAGCAAAACTAATTACTTCCTGATTGTCTACGGCCACCCACTGGGTATAATAGTATAGACTAAATTTGGCATATACATAACTAAGCACTCGGCACCAATTTGGTGTACAATAATCATCCTCTGTGTTGCATAATTAAAATCTGATCACTTGGAATAATTATTTCATATTCCCAGTATCRGGCGAAGATTGCATAATGTGGCAGAAGTGTGAGCCTGGGAGTGGAAGGATCCACTTTCACGGGCGTGAGCCCTGGGAAGGACATCACAGCTCCAGGCACGGCGAGAGACCCACCTGGCACTGGCAATGACCAGGTCATTGACCCCCCATGGGCAAGGGGCTGTGGTGGCCTTGGGCTGTTGGTCGGCTCTGGTCATGGAGGAGCTGCAATCACCTCACCCCTGCCCTCCACAGCAGGAGCACAGCCCCATTAGGGCAGGACTGTACCCGCCAGGACAGGCTGTCCTGCTGTCCCCACGCAAGCACTCTCCACATTGACCTTTCCAGCCTGGCTGCTGCCCCGCTGCCCGCCCGGCCGGGATGCTCATCGCCCGACCCCATTGTGCTCGTGCATCTGCTAAAGGCATTTGGAAAGACACGGCAATAAAAAATAAAAATCAAGTGGAACGTGTGTGTCTAATCCATTAACTTCCTCCGGCGGCTCCCCGGGGACCCGGCGAGGAGCAGAAAGAATACGTGGATATTGCACGCGCCCTGGCACCTTGTCCCCGGGCCAGCCCCGCCGCTGGCCGCTGCCACGGGCTCATAAATCACTGCGGGCGACAGCGTTTCACAGCTCGCTTCCCAGCCAGGATATGGCCATTCCTGCTGATTACACGGCCGGCGTGCGGGGGAAGCTGCATCTCCCACTTCCAGGAAGGGAGGATCCGCAAGGAAAAAGCATTGATAAAAAGAAGAACGAAATCAGCTTTGTTCACGTTGCGAATCTCCCATTGTTCCTGCTGCGRCCGTCAGCCCTCGCTGGAGAAAGTATTTCCTCAGCGATAAATCTCCTGGGCTCCTYGCAGCCCTCGCCCTGGCACCAGACCCTCCTCAGCTTGTTTTGAAAAAAAAAAGCACTTTTGGCCACAGGCCCCCCGTGGGGTGCACGGGGCAATTCATGGTGTGAGTTTGGGGGGCGAGGGACAGCCCTGGGGCAGGGGACAGGGCACTGGTGCCCATCCCAGGGGTCTCTGGCCCATGTCCCCAGTAAGGGCCAAATCAGGGGACGTGCACTGCCACTCCCCAAAGCTCCACTCCCATCCCACAGCGCCCGGCACGAGCCAGGGAAAGTGAGTCTGACCGGGGCCACGCTAATCCCAGCGCTGAAACGTGGTGCTGGCGGTGGCCAAGCACTTGGAATACGGGAGTCAGGCTGACAGTTGTACAAGAAAAATAGATCAAGTTTCCAAGAAAATAGAGCTGAGCTGATCTGATTTTCATCAGCATCTTCAGCTGCCTTTCGGGAAGCCCCAGCCTGCTCCTCATTCCTGCTCTCCACTTTACAAACCACTTAATTCCTTGTTGCTTTGGAAACCCTCACAAAGACCCTCTGCATCCCCCAAAATAACGAGCAACAGATGCTGCTTTGACCTCAGCAACTTCCTGGAAACATACATTTGTCAAAATAAAAATAAAAAGATTAATGTGAGGAAGGCTTTTAAATTATAAGGAAACAGCAGACAGAGCCTGGCCACGCACGCCGAGCCCTCGGACTGTGGAGAGACCCAGGGATGGGCAGGGAGAGGCTGGGGGACCAGGGGTCCCTGTGCCCACGGGGTTGGGGACCCAGAAGGCCTGGGTCTGGCACCGCTGCCCACAGCCAGGGGACACCACGAGAAGGTTCAGTTCTCCTCCTTCCTTCATTTTTCAGTTTATAGGAGCAACTGGTCTCTTACAGAGCCTTAAAAACCCCTTTGCCCATCCTACAGAAAAGGACTTGTGCACATAATGGGTTACCAGGAAGTTTTGGGTTATGAGCACTTGGACCAGTCGGTTTTCACCTCCCCACCTGGCACACCCCGGGGCACAGAGCTCAGGGACAGGCACTTGCCAGCAGCACCAGAGATGCCCAACAAGGGCTCGTGCCAGGACTCCTGCCAGGGACACTGGCAGCTGGCACAGCCTGACCCACGGCACAACC